ATTTGTTGTGACTTTTTATATCTACTTTTATAAAATAATTTTATATATTCCTATGTCTTAAATAGTATGACTTCAGACCCGAATGATGGCGGTTCACACCTTTAATCCCAGCACTTCTGGAGGCAGAGGCAGGTGGATCTCTCTGAGTTCAAAGTCAGCCTGGTCTACAAAGTTAGTTCCAGGACAGTCAAGACTACACAAAGAAACCATGTCTCAAACAAACAAACAAACAATCAAAATAGTATGACTCCTCCAATATTAACCTTTATATTTTACTTACCTTTGTGCTAATAAAAGGATAGCTAAGAAAGTTTTCTGGAAAAATACATAGGAAATATATTTTCTGAGTTTTAACCTAAAATTGTTATTAATTTTTTAATATTGATACAAAACTTTTTTTTAAGAACTTGTTTTCAGTCTGGATAGATGACTCAAAAGTTAAGAGCAATAGCTGCTCTTCCTGGGTACCAAGGTTCAATTCTTATCATCCACATGGTAGCTCACTCTAGTCTCATGGGAACTGGTACCCTCTTCTGACCTCCTCAGACATCAGGCATGCATGTGGTGTACAGACATACATGAAAACAAAACACTCAAACACATAAAATAATAATTAAAAACAAAAACAACTTATTTCTGTCTACTAGTACTGTTACTTGTTGAAGTCTTTTTACTTCCAGACTAGGTATTTTCTTATTCTCTCAAGGCCTTTCAGTTTTGAGTTTTTTAAAATAGGGGCTCACAAAACCCAGGTTGGCCTAGAAGTCACTATATGATAATGATAACTCCTGATCCACCTGTTTCCAACATCCAAATGCTGGGCATATAGTCCTTTGAGCCATACCCAGCCAAAGTTTATTTTCTTGTGTTTAACCTATTGCTAAGAATTTCCTTTTTTCTTTTTGGTTTTTCGAGACAGGCTTTCTCTATGAAACAGTGCGAGTTGTCTTACAACTCACTCTGTAGACCAGGCTAGCCTGAAAATCACAGAGATCTGCCTGCTTTTGCCTCCTGAGTGCTGGGACTAACGAAAGACATGTACCACCATTGCCCAGCTTGCTTAGAATTTCTTGCTTTATATGAATGGGTGTCAAGTTCCTTCTAAGCAGTCTTAATTGTAAAGCATAATAGCAGTAATAAGCTGTTTAAAAGGTTTATTTTTAATACATTTTAAAAAAATTTATGGGGTGTCTGAGTGTCTGAGTATGCCATGCATGTTTAGGTACCTCCAGAGGTCAGAAGAGGGCATCAGATCCCCTGGATCTGGAGCCACTTGATGTGGGTTCTGAGAACCAAACTCCTCTGGAAAAGCAGCAAGGCATCTTGACCACTGATTTTATTCCATATGATTTGCCCAGGTGGCACTTAAGATTAGCTTCAAGTAGCTATCACTGAAGTAATATACAACTAGACTTACTCAGGACAAAGTATGCTGGTAAAACTTGTAATTTGGAATTTAAGATTTCAAGAAAGCCAATCAAGCTTAAAACTAGACTTCTTAGAAATAAACTAATAGCCACGTTGGTGGTGCACACCTTTAATCCCAGCACTTGGGAGGCAGAGGCAGGCAGATGTGAGTTCGACACCAGCCTGGTCTACACAGCGAGTGTCAGTATAGCCCCCAAAGCTACACAGAGAAACCCTGTCTTGAAAAACAAAAGAAAAAAGAGTTTAGCTAAGGAAGCTATGTAAAACACTGTGATAACAGAAGAACCTGCATCAGTGAAGCAGCATCTCAGCACCCATTTTCCTGGTTCCAGTTTAGTGCCTAAAACTGCTTGCTGCACCACATTTCTGGCCCTTTGTGAATGTATACCTGTATGCACATACACAAAAGTTATTCGGCCAGATTCATGTGCTTGTCTATGAGAAGCCAAGTAATTTATATTTATACCTGTGTGTTTTAGAAGCTGGAAGTTCATTGTCATCTTGTGTGTTGGCTAACATTGCACACTGCCATAGCTCTAATAAATTCTACCAAATTGTTCTTGATACTTGACTAAGAAAGAAAAATGAATTAAGTCAATTTTCATAAAGATGCCCTTTTTTAAAAAATTAAGCGCTTTACTACATCTGTGGATTTCAAATTCACCTATGTAGAATGGAAATTCAATTCCACTCAAAACTGAAATGCTGAAAGCCTACTTCTTATCCCTAAGACTTTCATGCTTGATTTTACCACTATGACATGTTGTTTATCTTGAGCAATTCAGGGGCTTGAGAAGCCACCACATAGCTTATTAACTGGTTTAACGACTGAAAGAAAACAAAACTAACCACAAACAAAAAACACCTCATAACCCTCAGCAGAAATTAAATCAAATTATTTAAAAATAATTCTAGTCAACAGAGTGGTGGTGCACTCCTTTAAAATTTCCAGCACTCAAGACAGAGGCAGGCAGATCTCTGAGTTGAAGGCTACCTGGTCTACAGAGCAAGTTCCAGGACAGTCAGACTACACAGAGAAACCTTCTTGAGAAAAACAAAAGAAACCAAACAACTAACCAAAATTCTAGCTAACAATGAGTGAGCTGTTGCCTTGGAATTCTTAATGCAAAGAAGAAAATTTTGTGCTCCATTAGACATGTTCTTTCATCTGAAAAGATCTCCCTGGAAATATGAACTCAGGTCTGATCTCTGAGTGACAGCCCAGTCCAAGAGCTCTCAGAAGCACTCAAGAAATGAAGCTTTGAGTGTGCAATCAGGAATATACCTAATGGGATGGATTAGAGGCTAAAGAAGTCAATTTAATTTCTTTGGGAAGCTTAGCTATCTACCTCCCCATCAATCAATCAATCAATCAACAAGCTCTCCAATGTAGACCTGACTGACCTGGACTCACAGATAGCCTTGATGTTGCAGTGTTTTTCCTGCCTCTGCTTCCTTACTGCTCAGACTGAAGTTACATGCTATGTGCCCAGCTGAAGTTTTCAAAAGAATTTAACAAAGAAAGATGATCAGTTATAAATAAAGATATTGGTTTAAACCTATAAGGAAAGTACTATTAAGACTTGAGCCTGGTAAGAATTGGGGCTTTCAAAAAAAATGTAAATGAAAAAAACCTTTTTTAAAAATTAATGGTAGACTTAGAACAAGAAAATAATATTGGGAGGAAGATGGCACATAAAGAGAATGAAGAGTCTTTAGAAAATAAGTTTGCTGTTACCTTTTTCACCTGTAAGTATGGCTCTCGGGTTATAAAGACCAGACACAAATGGAAGGGAACTGAGGTTCTAACAGTTAAAAGAATGTAATAGAACAACTTGACTTTATTTAAAAGCATCAAGGACTTTATATTCAACTCTACAGGTTTTGAGGGGGGAAAAAAGTACTTCAAATACTGAAGAAAACAGAGAAAATGCTACCTGATTTGCTAGAAGAGGGAATCAGTAATATGATTCTAAGTATTTAGAATTTGAAAAACTAACACTAGTTGCTGAGTAAACCAAGAACCAAGTCAGAAAACTCTAGGTCAACCAGAATTTTGTGTGTGTTTGTATGTGTGTGCATGCGTGTGTAAATTTTCAGAGTTTGGTGATACTACAGAATTCTAAAGCAGTAAACTTTGGTTTCTCATGACAACCATATAAAGAGACATGTATGTAGAACAGACAATAATAGAGCAAAGCAAATATAAAGTTGTTTGAACAGATCTTTCTAAAAAGTAGTAAAAAGAGTCTCTGATATATTAATCAAGCAAGAAGGTTTTGGCTTTGGCCATATTTCATTCAATATATTTTCAGTGATTGTACTAAAAGATTCAAAAGGTATTTGTACAAGAAAAGCTAGAAAGACAAAGAGCATTACAAACAAGATGTCTAAAATTAAAAGCTTTCTGGTATGTTGTTATAAAGAATTTACCCAAAGAGTAAGTTTATCAGGAATAAACCAAATCTTTAATTCAGGTCTAAACTATAAAGTTTGGGACTGAAGGCATGGCTCAGTAACTACGAGTGCTTCATGCTGATCCAGAGGACTGGGCTTAGTTCCATGCTGGGTTGCTAACAACCACGTGTAACTCCAGTTCCAGAGACTGGACCCCCTCTTCTGGTTTCTGTGGGCACCTGTACTCACATGTGCACATATCCATACACATAATTAAAAATAACAAAATGTATCTTTAAAAATATGTAATTGCCTACTGAAAGGGAACTTGTTGGGCAGAAATTTTTGTGATTAAAAACATCGTATTATATTAGAATGCTTGGTCTGTGCTTAAAAACTAATGAGATTTTATGCTATGTATTGGGTTAGTATTTCTAATTAAAAAAAATTATGAGCTACTAAAAGCCAGTGAGGGGAGTTATCAAAGTGTGAATTTTGATTTCTGTAAGAGTATATTAAATTGTTTTGAGACTCAAACTACATTGATGTCTCAACTTGGAAGGCTGAGGTCACAATTCAAGGCCAGTCTCACCTCTCTAGTGAGACCTTGTTGGAAAAAAACAAAACAAAACAACAACCAAACCCAATAAGACATCTCTACTTTTTATAAAATTTTGCAAATTACATGTAACAGTGTTTATCTTAAATCTTCAAAGAACAGAAAGTAAAAACAGAAAAATAATTTTTTCTGGAGAACTTTTTAAAAGGGCCAGTTTAATTTGATAGCTGAAATGAGTAACATGTAGAGCAACAAATTAGAAGTTTCATCATCACTTGGAGGTTTTGGTGCAGGCCTTGCTGTCTGCCAGGTATGTATAAGTCTCCTGGGAGCTGAGGAATGTTCACTGCACTCAGTAGCAGAGGAGACAGGGTAAAACAGCAGAGCTTCTCTCAGGCCTGACACTCTTACAGCTGCTTACAATACTGAATTGACACTGGAGGCAACTGTAATACTCCAGATACTATGGGTTTTTCTCAAAGTTGCTTTGGCAAATTTCAGCTGATTAATAAAACGCAGATATCCTAAGCTAAATTTTATAAAAAGAGATAATTACTTAGGAATGTTTAGTAAAGAGCTTATTTAGGGAGTATTAACATAGATAATGTATACATACAGAATGGTACAGTCCTCAGGAAAGGAGTTTTCACATGATGTAGAGGGAAATGCATTTGATTTGTTTTCCTGTTCATTCTGAGTCACAGGTATATGATCTACATGGAAAAAGTACAAATATGAGCAACAGAAATACAAAGTTAAGAATCATTCACTAAAACAGCCAAATCATATCTTCATTGATTAGAAATTATGCCCATATGGAACACTAAAATTTGCAATGATACTAATAATATTATTTTGAGACTCAGCAATAAGATTGCCAATATTTTCAAAAGTATTAAGAAATTAATTCAGAATAAGTTTAAAAAACTTGGAAGAAAGTACTTCTGGAGAATGAGTTTGATATCAATTTAATCAAAATAATAGATATTTCAGGTGATTAGTTCTGTCTAGATTTTATAGACAAATGGTATGGTGTTTTAAGGTCTTTAAAGGCCATAAAATGTTATGTTTGGGTGGGTTTAAAGCATTTGATTACCTATTTTGATCTATTTGTCATCTCTTATTTCCTTGTACATCTTTTTACCCCTGGTCTATTTTTTCTTTCTTTTTTTGTTTAAATAGGGAAACAATGAATAATTACAGTTGTAACTAAGCAAGGGAAGAAAAAGTAACTAGTGGTTTAATCAGTATCTAGGGAATACAGACTAGATCTCCAAGGGCTTGTTTTGATATCAACACCAAGCCTTTTTGTTTTTCTATACTGGCAAACAGATATATTTTTGTTCTAATACAATAGTTCCAATTCAGGTGAACAGACTATATAAAACATAAAATCATGATATAGCATTTCCATTGATAATGACTCCAAACAAAAACCCAACTTGTTTTAGAGAGGAAAAGAAGTATTGGGATTAACTCCTTGTATCAGTTCCTCTCCTTCCCTTTAAAAGCCTTTACCTCTCCCTCCTACAAAACTACTATAATCCCTTAAGGGTGTGTTCACAATGAAAGGGTGCTACAGTAGCAAAAGGATTGTTCTGAGCTGAAATAGTTGAGAATCAACAAATAAAGGAAAAGGTTTCCTTGCCCCTTGAGTTTTAAAAATTGGATCCTCAAGGAAAAAGAAAAAAAAGAAAGCTATAAATTTCCTCTTCCTGAAGATTCAACCAGAAGACTGATGCTAGCACTATACCCATACAGCCACTATTACAATCTAGAGTATAGCCCATCTATTTTCCTCAGGGCTCATTCATCTTCCAAAAGTCACACCTACTTCTCTGTTCTGCACTCTCTTCTAAGAAACCATCTGCTCTAGAAGTGCCCCTCTGCCTTACCCTCCCTACTAACATGACATCAGTTTTCAAAACTCGATGCTATGTTGAGTATTCCCTTCTATGTACAATGAATCAGTATACCTATGTACCTTTTAAACTGCAAATTTTCTTTATGAGTTTGATTTATAGCCCCCAATTACTCCTCCCACACACACACATGTTTCTTGCCTTATAATTCCAAATGTTACTGAAGAATACTGAAAGGAAAGAATTTTTTAAAGAGGGCACATTACCACTGAAATTGAGAATACTGAGAATAAAAAAAATTACCCAAAATACACTGGCATCATACTATACAACTTTTTCATAGAGTTATAAACTTTAAGGCTCCAAATTTTGATAGCAGAACAAAAACTAGCAAAATTTGCTGAGAATATCTAACAATATAAATGAAAATTTGGTAAATGCACTTTCAACACTTAGGGCAAAAATGATAGATTAAAATTTATAAAATGATAATACTGAAAAAATAACTTTAATCTGTTATTTTTAGTCTTGGTATATGTGGCACAACAAGGATTATATATTTGGTCTGCCCTAGTTCCTGATAGAATTACTACAATCCTTTCCCAAGTGACAGAGTGAGAACAGCATTTGTAACTTTGGTCTTAGTTCCAAACACTTCTAAAGGCTTTGACCCTCCAGGGTGATGTTTGTCTAGTTTACTACTGAGATGACTGCTAACTAGAATCCCTAAAGAGGTTCAGCATGGTGGCTGGTCCACTAGAAAAACAAAAAACAAAATAAGAAAACACAATTACAGGGTTGGAATTTTTATACTGAACCAAGTCCAGGAACTAAGAAAGGTAGGAGACAGAGTCAATCACCAGTGGTCATGCATTCATGCCTATGTAATGAGACCTCCACAAATGCCCAAATAATGGGGGCCAGAGGGTTTGAGTTGGTGAAAGCATTCATATACTAGAAGGGCAGTATATTCCCCAAACTTGAGACTAGAGTATCTGCACTCAGACTCCTCAATACTGTCTCCCACATACTTCTTCACCTGGCCATTAATCTGTGTCCTTTATAACACTTTTCATAATAAACTGTTAAGAGGACAAAATGCATCTCCTTGAGTTTCTTGAGCAAAAATTTTAAAAGAGATTTATTTTTATATGATGCATATACATGTATCTCTGTGTGTGAAAGAGTACGTGCACATGAATGCAGGTACACACAGAGGCCAGATTAGGGTGTCAGAGCTCCTGGAGGAGATACAGGTGAATGTGAGGTATCAAGCATGGGTGCTAGAAACTTGGGTCCTCTGGAAAAGCAGAAAACACCCTTCACCACTGAACCACATCTCCAGCAAATGAGTAAACCTATCAGAACCCCCATCTTCAGGCAAGTCAGCCAGAAGTCACAGAGGCCCAGCGATTGTGATTGACATTTCAAGTAAGGGCAAGTCTTAGGGCTGACTACATAACAGGTTACACCTCACTGGTAGCTACATGAAACTGGAAACTTGCTTGCTGCAGAAAATGCACACACCTGACATCAGAAGTCTTATGAATAAGTTTTAATGTGTTATCTTAGATATTTTAAAACTAAACATGCTTAGCTCATAGAAGACCAGTAGTTTAAAACCAAGATGAATTAAAAAAAAATATCCATCAACTTACCTGTAATGGGATGTGCCTTCCTAACAGTGCTCTTTACCGAAAACAGGCTTACAGTTGTTTAGGCTCTTAGAACTCTATTTGTCATCTTTAGATGGTGTTTTATGAAGAAAAGAAATAAACTTTCATTTTCTTTGGGTGCTTGGTAGGAGTGTGTTCCCTATCTCTGGAGGGGTAGGACTTTTCATAAAGGAAACTGTGATTCACAAAACATAGCAATGTGGATTTTACATGTTATTTCAAGTTACCTTTATCTTGACTGATTAAGATTGGCAAGGAAAGAACAAAGAATATTAGGATTGGAATAAGTAATGAACATACCTTTTGTTGGACTGTTACTTATAGTTGCTTCATTTACAAGAATCATTGCTTGGACATAGTCTATTAAGAGAAAAAAAATAAAAATTAAATAAATAAAAGGAATAAACATAATCACCAATCACCTCTATTCAGGTTATCAGCTACAATACTAAACAATTTACATTTGATCTTTACAATTCCCCTGAGAGAGCCTTACAACCATCTGCACTAGAAACCAAAGAAAATGAGGCCGGGAGGTTAGCTATTTATGTCAATTAACTAAAAGTGATAGAACTGTATTCAAACTTACATACATCTGACACATGAAGGATTGAAAGTTTCTTTATATAAAAAAAGAGAATAAACAATATACTGTCATAGTCTGAATGTCATTAGTATAGTATAGAGAGAAAGCCTCTGGCAGTGACGAGAGGAACCTGTTCCCAAAGAAGCATTTAACCTGTATCTTCGCTAAATCCACATATGCATTATCTGCCTGCTTTACATCATCTTTCCCACACAATTTAATACTGTTTCAGGATAGGTAGAGAAACGTAAGAGCTCTTCTCTTCCCACTTCTAAACAAAACTGTAAAGAAAACCCTCCCATTAGCAGCCAGTCTTCTGATTTTCTTTTAGAAGAGCAAGGGCTACAGACCAGGGAGAGAGTATCCAGAAGTATCAGCAGTTCAGGACATCTTTGCTTTACAACCATATCCTATTGAGCTAGAAGATCTTACATTTAGAGCCTCATGTTCTACAACCAACTAGAGTTGAAAACACATAGAAAAATAAAAAACTGGAAGTTTGCTTTAAAAAAACTAGTACAGTTATGTTTGAAGCAGGTAAAGCAGTATATGTTAGTACAGAAAGTTTTGTTTGAAGCAGCTGATACTTATGCTGTTGTATGCTGGCATAAAACCTAGGGCCTTATACATGCTGATCATGCCTTCTACCACCAATGAGCCATATGTGGACCAGTTGTCTAAATGATGGAATAGACATTTTTTGGTTAGATTTTCCTATTTATGCCAAACTTATACAAGAAGCAGGTATTATTTGTGCAATGCTCTTCCCTTCCACTTCAAAGACACGAAGGTATAAAAAGAATAAGTATAAATAAAGGAGGAAAATGTAGCCTGATTTCAACAACTAGGGAGGTTAAAGGAGGAAGAGGGAAGAGTGCTTAAGGGGAGTTCTGGGTCACACATATAGTGGTGTGGGCAGGGAGTCTTCAGTAGCTATCATTTACAAATATCAGGTTTACCCACTTTTACGGGATGTATGGGAAAAGCAAGTTTACAGAAGCAGAACATACATAAAGTAGATAAAACTCAAATTAGGGTCTTAGAAAATTAATTATTGTTTAAAACAAACAACAGCAGAATTATACTGCATTGAGTATGTAACGTTAGCAGAAGTGTCAGAAGTTCTCATTTTTTCATACCTCTATTTGTGGCAGACCCATCTTTTATCTTCTGTTTCAGAGACTGCAGCACATCTTGTGTTCTTTCAAACATAAAATCCACTTTACCATCATCTTGTAACTCCATCCAGAAAGTCCTTGCATCACCTAAAATAGTAGTGAATAATCTAAGAGGTTAATAGAAATGTACCAATTTCCCTAAGGCATAAGTTCAGGGAAAATCTACTTCATTTCTAAACAGTAATTAAGATTCAACTGGTCTACCACTTTTCTTACAAAGAGATAGACATAAAGAATATGACCCAATTATCTTGCTTTTGGTGGCACACACCTTTATTGCCAGCACTTGGGAGGCAGAGGCCAGTGGATCTCTATGAGTTACACAGGCTATCCTGGACTACAGACTGAGTTCCACAACAGCTAAAGATACACAGAGAGATCCTGTTTCAAAAAACAACAGCAACAAAAACAGAAAGTAGTTCTGGAGATGTAGCTCAGTTGACAGAGGAGTACTTGCATCACATGTATAAAGTCCTGAATTTGATTATCTCCAGTACTGTATAAAACTAAGAGTAGTATAACCTGTAATACCAGAACTTGGGAGGTAAAAACACGAAGATAAATTTCAAGGTCATCCTTGGCTACATTGTGGATTCAAGGCCAGCACAGGCCAGACATCTTATCTTAAAACAAAACAAAAACCCTCCAAAAAAACCAAGAATCAAAAACTTCAATGACACAATTTCTTAACTGGAAAACAGGAAGAATAACTCCAGGTTAGAATCATAATAGGGCAAAGATAAAATGTACAGATAACATGTATCTTTAACATTTCCAAGATACAACCTCTTCTATGTGTAGAAGCAGACCATTTCAGAATGAAACAGCTCAATGACCAACCACTGAAATAACAAAATGTCTAACAATATTACTTTTCAAAAAGTCTCTTACAGGGGCTAGTAGTTACTAGTCCATACTGCTCATCCAGAAGACCTGAATTTGGTTCCCAGCACTCATGTGGGGCAGTTCACAATTTCAGCTCCAGGAGACCTGAAATCTAATGCTTCTGGTCTCCACAAGCTCCTGTATTTACGTTCACTCTGTCTCTGTCTCTCTCTCAAACCACACACACACACACACACACACACACACACACACACACACACACACACACACTTAAAAATACTTACAAAGTAATTTTAAAGTATTTTATATTAACCTGGTTTTTACAAGGGTATTTACGCAAATTAAGGGCTATAATTTCTGATACAGCAAGCTAAAAATCTTTGTCAAATTTTTCTAGAAGTTTTTCAAGTTGAAAACAAATGACACAAGTAACCAAAGCTAACAAATACCAAATCTCATATTTACAGTATATTTAAAAGTAATAAAAAACCCTCAAAAGAAACAACAATATAAAATCGCTTAACATTAATAGGGCCTTAAGCAAAAAAAAAAAAAGGATATAATAATTGAAGTTTAGAAAGACTACTTGAGAAGTTATTGGAAACATTGAGATATTATTTCAGTTATATAAATCGTTTACTTAATAAAAATTAAGCCCTAAACCTGCAAGTTTGACAATGGAGGCAGAATCTTTATAGGAAGGAGTCTGAGTACTCTGATTTTCAACTCCTACTGGGAAAGTCACCTTTCCCAAAGCAGTTTTCTGATTAATTAGGGGACTGCCAAGTAGCCTCAGGAGGGGTGCTATTTCTCTGCTATATACTCCACAAGAGGAAGCCTGCTTTTAATTCCCCACAGCATAGTGACAAGGTTTTAAGATTTCAAACAAAAGAAACCTGGGAGAACAAAATGGGTGACAAGTGGTACTTACAGGTCAGAAGGGGCCATGACATCAAGAGCCTTATATGTCATGCTGACTTTACTTTTACACATAGGGCTACTCAGGTCTAAGCATACTGTGCTGTGATTAAATAAACTTCTTCCACCACTTAAAAGCCAGGCATGGTAGCACACACCTGTGACTCCAGCACTTAGAAGGCTAAAGCAGCTGGAAGAAGGAGAAGTACAACTTTGAGGCTGATCTGGCTAGTCTGAGCTAAATAGAAAAGATCACCCAAGTAGTTAAGAATGACTTGTATTGTTCTATCTCAGACAACCTAATGGACAGCAACCCTGTGTGCATTAAGGTAAGGCAAATGGTAAGCGCCAGGCTGCTTTAAAAAAAAAGAAAGCAGAAATAGGAAGATAACCCTATCCTGACATGTGACTTTCCACAAGTGGGAGCCTCTACCACAAATGTGTATATGCCACACACACACCAAAGGGGTAGGAGAAAGGAAAAAGAAGTCACTGAGAGTAAAACCCTGACATTCCACAATTTAGAACAAACTGTCTATAAACATTAGGACACGATGCAACAACGTGCTCCATGACCTACCATTTCTTTCTCCCATCTTTTGATGTTACTAATATAAAATTCTTCAAAATTTGATGAGTCAGGAGAACCACTTTGATTGGAGTCCAGATGGAGTCTCTATGAAGTCTTGGTCCACAGAGTATGTTGTTACACCATTACTTAATATTCTTTGATACTCGAGTTTTCAAATAGAAGCCATGCTTGAAGACTTTCAGAACGACTACACACAAAACAGGCACAGCATCCTCATCAATGCCAAACTGACAGCTGGAGCAGGACCACTGACACTGTCTTTTCAAAATCAGAAATTAATCCCATGCTTTGGTTCACAAATGCATGAAACGTTCTGAAGGAAAAAGAAAGAATGGTGCATGTTTACAAAGAAAAATAATAAGAGGAAAAAGATACTATTATAACAAACAACTCTTTAAAAATAATACAAAGTTTTATGAAAGTATACATTAACTTCAAAAAAATCTACAAAACACCAAAATTATGAGAAAAGTACAGAGAATCACCCATAATCCTATTGCTCATGTTTAACATGTTTGTTAACACTTACCCTGTATCAACAAGCTAGCCCTCTTAATACTTCATGAAAACTTTAAAAAAAATAGGAGTGATCATGATAACTGCTTCATACATTGCTATGAGGATAAAATTATCACTTAGAATAGTATTTGATACATAGGAGGTATTCAATAAATGTCAGTAATTATCCTTCCAGTGTATAATTTGAAAATTTTAGTGTATATGCTTTTTCCATGATCATGATATCTATTCTTTCCCGACCATTAATATTTTTATATAACTAAATGACCATATTATATGCTTTGGACAATAATTAACACACAAAGGCTTTTAATAATTTTTTAAAATTATTAATTGGCAATATAAAGTTCTGTATCAGACATTTAATATTTCTAAACTGTTATACATAATACTGGAACAAACATTTTGTGCATTTTTCTGATTGTTTCCTTAGAATTAAATCTAGTGGTAGAACTAATAAGAAATTTTTGAATTATCAAAGTGTTAGTACATGGTAAATTTTTCTGTATTTTCCACATCATAAACCAGAGGAATGCTGGAAGGCTTTAAAAGTTATATATAGTCGTGTTTAAAACTAAAAGCGAAATCTCAGCAAACACAGAGCATGAGGCCTCTGTGGGGAAATGAAACAGGAAATGCTCAAGAGAAGACCAAGCAAAACCATAACACAAAAGGATGACAGGAAATCTCCCAAGGAGATGAGAGTTCTGAATACATGAAGATTGCTGTGAAAATGACAAGTCGCAAGCCCACTAAATGGCTGGGGCTGAGCTTAAGAAGACTAAATGTTTCTAAAACAAATGTGGATATATCTGATATCCTCTAAGGACTGAAGAAATGTACGACTCTGAAAAATAACCAATTAAGTATCCTGGATATAAAAATAGCTCTTCAAATCAACTGTTTAGGTGAAAATCACAGAAAAGACTCATGGGAAAAGCCACCTACTACTCTAGAAAATCATAGTTAAATTTATGGGGGGAAAATAAAAGGAATGATGTGATAATGACCAAGAATTTCTCAAAATGGGAAAACACATAAGCCACTGTCCACAGAGTGCCAAGTAGAATACACTTTTTCTATCTTTCTTTTTGAGACAGGCTAGCCTTGATCCCGCTAAGACACCAGGGATGGCTTTGAACTTCTGATCCTTTTGCCTGTACCTCCTGAGTACTAGGATAACCTACAGGTGCCACCACACTGGACTTACTGGCTCAGGATCCAAACCAGGGCTTTGTACAAGCTAGGCAAATATTCTACTGACTGGGTTACAGCTTCTACCCTAGAACAGGCATCAAATACACCACCAATCATGATATGCTTCAGAATAGCAAAAAATGAAACAATTCTTAGAAATGTGAAGAAAAGCCTGTTAATCAAAAAGGAGTATGTATCAGACTGGTAATGAGTGTAGGGAAAGGGGGCCAGTGAAAGAAACACACCCTGAGCAGAGCCAAAGAAACATACTTTGGCCCTGCAAACAGAACTAAAGAAATGTACCCTGACCCTGAAACCAGTGCCAAAGGAACACACTTTGTCCCTGGAATCAGAGTCAGTGAAAGAAATGCACCCTGGCCCTAAAATTGGAGCCAAAAGGCTGAAAAGGACAAGAGAAAGAAACACACTTTGGCCCTGAAACCAGAGCCAAATCTGACCTTAATCCTGTGCAGAAAACTAACCAATCCTAGAGCAGAGCTCTAGCCAATCTGAGCTCAGCTCTGAAATCGGACCAATCCCCACCCTGGAAAAAATTCCCCACCCCCAAGAATCCCTATATAAACCCTGTGTATGTTCAGCTTGGCTGGTCGAGCTGCTTCCTTCCAATAAACCTCTTTGATGAGCTTTGGGTGAAGATCTTCTTTTGTGGCGGTGGTGGAGCAGAGGTGACCCTGGGCAGGGCAGAGCGAGCAGGGCTGTAACACTTGCCCGGAAAACCTTCCCTTGTCAGAGCAGAGTCGGTTCCCACTCCCTGCTCTCCCTCCCTGATCTCTGGTCTCTAGGAGCAGAGCTGAACTGTAGCAACTTTGCCCGAGAAACCTCCTGCAGAGCAAAACTGCTACACTAGGCGAACATCCCCAGCTGGAAGACCCTCTCCTGCTGGAGCAGAGCGGATACACTGGGGAAGCCTTTCCCTGAGGCTGGGCTGTAAGCAGCTAAGCTTACTGCAACCTGTGGTGGTCCTTGACTCCTGAGCTCCAGGATACCTTTCCATCTGAGCTGTGTAACACTCAGTATTCTGTGGCTCCCGAGTGCCGGAATACCTGACCCACTCCTGTTCCATCCTGTCCCGACCCATCCCGAAAAGCTTACAATGAGACTCACCAGAAATGCAAAATGTTAAAAGGTGGGTATAAATCAGGAACTGTATCTCCAGTCAAGTAACCTTTCCATTGTAAGTCTACAGATACGCAAGAGCCACTAAGACACAGTGCCCAGATGCCTTCCAGGATGGGTCTAGTAACTTCCACCTCAGCACACTCACTAACAGCCGGTCATCTCAGCAAAGGGCAGGTGCAGACAGGAGGACAGTTGTTCAAGGTCAATCTCCACTAGACTGAGCTTCCAGACAGCAGACAACACAAACTAAAGATTAAGATCTCACCAGTGTAGCTTGAAAACTACTGATTTGCAAAAGAAAAAAAATAATTATGTGAAAAACTTTGCAAAACACAAACGTTAAGAAAAAAAAAGAAAAGAAAAAAGGAAACCACTAGCTTATCTTCTGGAGACAGGACTAATGTTTCATTGCCAGGGGAATTTTTGTTTGCTTTGTTTTTTGAGACCAGGCTAGCCTCGAATTAATGGATCTGCCTGCCTCTGCCTCCTGAGGGATGGAATTAAAGGCATACACCACCACCACCTAGCTTGTAGTGCAATTGTAAATTTAGTTCTTTTCCGGTCTCACGCTTTTATCTTGAAGAAAATACAGCCCCTTTGATTTAGATTTAAGTTTCCTTTTTACTTGAAAAAAAGAAGAAAGAAACTAAACTAAAAAAAGGCTAAGATATCACTATCTCCTTGGTTCCTTGCTAGGCATGACATTTACGGTGTGAAATCAGGAGTCGGACACGTCTTAAATTACTCCATGCATTCCTATTTAGCCCACACAATAATAATGAGAAAACAGCTTCTGATGTTTCTTAGAAAGCATGTCATACAGCATGTGGCAGCCCAGCTGGAAGCTCTCATGCTCTGGTTATCCCAGGCTAAGGATGAACGTAAATTAACCTCCCCACCTTGGGTTTCTTCATTCACACACAGAGCGTCACCCTAAGTTTCTTGCCAAAGAGCTGTCCACCACACACCTTTGTCTGTCCCGACAATACTGACCTGGACTGTGGGTGGGGAGTCAGTCAGTCGCTCCTAAAATACAAATCAACTTCGGTCGGTAAGTAATTCCATCTATTCAGGGCGTGTGACATCTTACCTGTGGGACGGACCAGTGTTCAATCCTTCGAGTCCTGCTTCGGCGTTTTAGGCTGTCCTCCGCTGCCCACAGCCCATCACAGACGGCCACCAGCCTCGAAGGCGAGCGCCCCAAGACAGAGGGAGAAAACGCAGCGGACAGCCCGGGCCGCCTCAGCTCCCGCGACTGCAAGCCTGCCGCACGAGCGGGTGAGAGCCCGGCTGAGCCGCAGCGCGCCCTGCACACCCCACACCGGAGCCACCTACCGAGAGACGCCCTCACCTCAGCCCTGGAGACTCCAGCCCTCAGCCAGCCAGCTCCGCCGCAACCAGACGCCCGCCTTCCCCGGCCCGACAAGGCGCTCATTGGCTACCCAGCCCCGGTCGCTCGGCGCCTCGGGCGCTGCGCGCGTTCCGCGGCCCCGAGGGGCGGTTCAGAGAGCCCCGCCAGCTGATTGGTCAGCGCCGCTCTCGGCGAGTCTCGCGCTATCTGCTGTGGCCAATAGGGCTCCCCGCAGTCTTGGGAGCAGCTCTCTGGAGTGGTGGCGCAGCTTTTTGCTCGGTAGGTGCGCGGCTGCCATCTTGTGTGTGGCCACGGCGGGCCTTCTGCTCTGGAAGTGTGTGTGGAGCCACTAGTTAGTTCCCAGGGGGCTCCGGACGGTGACGGGAGTGTTGGAGTGCCGGGGAGACTAGTTCCTGCACGGGGTTCTTCTTCTCGCCCCGGGATTCCTCCTTGGGTCTGGGAGGCAGGCGTGGCGGTGGTGCTGAGTCCAGGCTTTGTGGTGCTGGTCTTTGGAGGCTTTCACGTCTTTGATTCCTTGTTTTCCGAGAGTTGTCTCAGCAGTGTTTGAGGCGCGACGATCCCCATCATCGATCTCTCCATGGTTAAAGGAGGCTGGCTATTCAGAGTGGAAAAGCCCGCCATGGCAGGGTGCGGGAGATGTCTCAACGACGGACCTCCGGGTCGATAGACAACCCTTCTTTTATTTATTTTATTATTTATTTTTCTGTCAATTGCCAGGGGCCGACTGCTGAACTATTGCCCTTCTCGAGAGTTCGTGGCAGTAGCCTTTAGACTATGGTCACATCCTTTGACATAAGTGGACATCAGGTTGCGTGAGAGTAGTTTTATTCATAAGTGCGCGGCCACCATTCCTTCAGTGGCTTCAGACAAACAAAAACCCTAAAATGTGTTGGTCTGCAGAAACGGGAAGTCAGGGGAGAATGTCACTAACGTTGTTGTTGTGAGACAGAATCCTACATACTCCAGATTCGATTCAAACTAGGAATATAGCTCAGACTGATCCTTCTGCCTCCACTGCCCAAGTTCTGGGTTTACAGGAGCGCCTCACCACAGAACATGTCCTTGTTTCAAGTGTGTTGAAAATTTATTGTAAATTTCTCTTTACATATTTTTATTTTATAAACTTTATCATAAAAGAACTTGCAAATAAATAAAAATATCACACACCAAAATGAACCAAACCCCACATCAGTACAAGTCATTGATCTTCAATAAAATTCAGATTGTCATTCAGAAGGGAAGTTGTGAAGTTTCACATTGAATGCACACTTAATGTGTTCTGTGCCCTTAGCCACAACCAAAACAAAACAAAAAACCCATACAGATTTGTAAATTTCTGGATCAGCCTGTAACTATGCCCGGTAGTCTCATCATGGAGCAGACATTCTTTAAGGAGAATGAGTTTGCTTAGGGCTGGGAAGAGCTACACACTGCACTTGCCTTCTCCCATTCTGCTGCTGCTCTTGGAAAGAATTAAGACTCCCTTATGAAGCAGGAAGCATTCCTTTGTATTTCATTAGGAAGAATCTGCCAGATCTGAAAATCCATCCAGTTAGAGACAAGTATTTTGTGATTGACTTCAGCAGTTTGGATACGAGTGAGAAGCTGAGCCTTTCCTCAGTGCCTTCACTTTGTCTTCAGTTGTTCAAAGTCAGCAGTACAGGAAAGGGGCGCTTTGTGACGTAAATAACCAAACAAAGCCAAATCAACAACAGAACCCTACATTTCTTAATTTACTTTTTAAAGCCATGATTCATACAAAATTTTTCTTGGGGAAAAAAAAGTATGAGTTGATCAAATTAAGCATTAATGTTACTGGTTTGTAAATTCACTGCCTTTTCCTGTTTTTAAAAGAATTAGGTAAATGACAAGTGTATATATATATATACATGCATATATATATATACATACATATATATATATACTAAAAGCACATATCTGATGGTCTTGTCAGATCTTAATATGTACACACTTCTTTCCTCATGTTTTCTATATTTTGTTCATTGACGTGGGCATCTTCTGTGTGACTCAGATTTAAAATCAAATTCTTCCTTTTGTCCCACTTAATAATGTGTCTATAGCTGTAATTCCTGTAATGGCTTTTCTTTCTGCTCCCTCTCCTTCAGTCCAGGTACAACATTTTATCCTGGGAGTGGCAGTGCAGACCTCAGTTCCCAGGGAGACTGGGGCAGGAAGATCCCCGTGTTGAGGCTTGTCTAGTCTGTGCAGTGAGAGTTTGTCTTAATAAAACAACAATTTATATAGCACGGTATTCATGACAAATCCTGTGTTCCTTAGCTTGGAATTTATTTTAATTAAGATACAGTTTGGCTGTGAGGATAGAGATGCTAAAGAGTAAGTGTGGTCTTTGAGAGTAAACCGTCTCTTTCCTATGTAAAGGAATGGTAGCTATTCAGGTGCCCTTGTTGCACACAGCTGTCAGGGACCCATACCCACGCCCTTCTACCGCTCTCTCCGTTCGGCCCCTGTTTATATACACCGTGTTCCTAAATGAAATGACAAAATCTATTTTGTCGGAGGATAAATATTTGCAAGTGGTAATAGCTGAATTTTGTGCCTTCATTTATTTCAAGTCATTTTACATGGCTTCACACATTCATGTAATAATTCCATCCCTTTTGGTACCATTCACGATGGCTCTGTGAGGTAGGTGGGTAGAATCATGTATATGACCTCTTGTTTACCTGTGGACATAGAACTTACTGTGTACCTTTCACCTGTGTTTGCAGCATTAGCTCCCAATACTAACAAGTACATTCTATTGGAAGTAATTGATGCTGTTACTTGATCCAGGTCTCGCTGTTCCCCACTGCTTCCCAGTGATTCGGGGCAGGAAAAGATTTGGAAAGACAGAAACCAAGGAAGATGGAAAACTGCCATCAGCAAAGGCCATTGAGAGAAGAATTTGGGTGCAAAGAGCTTTTCTAGAGAGGTAAGGGAGAAGCAAGGGGCTATACGTCTTCATGCTGAATTGGGTCTCCATCACCCAGAGCCTGTGTTTTGTTTTCGCTACTGGACTAGCTTTGCAGTACCGATCAACTTTTGTCTCCTAGGTCAGTCCTTGTAGTTTTTTAGGTAAAAATACATGATTTCTGAGCCAGTTAAAGATGATTTATTTTCAGTTAGAGAATAAGATAGCAAATCCTTCATCTATACTTTGATCCCATCCAAAGACAGATACCCTGAGTTCTGTAAATCTAGAAAAAAGTAAGTTGTAAGATGCTGGCCTTGGGGCCTGAGTGATGACTCAGTGGATTAAGGTGCCTGCTACCAAGCCTGAGAACCAGAATTCAGTTCCAGGACCACACGGGAAAAGGAGAGAACCAGTTCCCACAAGTTGCCTTCTAACCTCCACATGCATGAGCACACACAGTTGTTTTTTTAAAGGACCTTAGTTGTAAAAAGAACAATGTCAAATACAATTTGGACTTCTCAAAAAAAGACATCTGTCTGCAGATACTTAGTTCCTTTGCCTACGAATAACTTACCTTGCAGTTAATCACTAAACTACTAGCAGCAAGCTAGGGATGTTTGCTCATGCCTGTGGTCCTGGACTGAGGCATGAGGGTCATAGGTCCGGACAAAGCTGGGACATAGGAGACTTAGGTTAACAATAGAAAGCCCGAAAGCAAGACATAACAGGTTGAGCCTATTAGGTAGTCTCCTAATGAGGCACTGATCAAACAGAATCTTGCTGTGTCGCCTAGGTTGCCAGCTTCCGAAGTTCTGGCATCGTTGATTTCTATCACCAGCAGTGATTGTTTGCTCGTTTTGTTTTTGAGAATGGGTCTTACTGTAGTCCAGCCTAGGTTGAGACTTGAGAGTGTCTCTGCCTGATACATGCTGATATTAGGGCCTAAAGCAACAAATCTGATCAGATTTAGTGGGGGTTGGGGGTTTTTGCTTTCTTTAAAAGTCGGCTAAAACAAGTGAAACTAGAGAGCTTATATACTCTTGGGTTATAGTGCCAGGCTCAGCCTCTTCAAAGTGTAGACAGGGTTCATTCAGTTAGTTAAAGTTAGTTAAGCCAACAGGGATTCCTTGAGAGATAATACATCTTACTAAGTAATATGAATATCTGCTCATTTAAAGTATATCTCAAATAAAAACTTGGGTGGAGAGAGATGATGAAGAGTTTTTAAGGCTTTACAGTTAGTTGTCCAAACTAAGGCCTAGGATAGCTATTGTTTGTAGCTTGGTTGCACAGTATCTTATGACTGCCTTAGTGGAGTTTGTAGTTGACAGCATTGGATTGCAGTGTCAAAACGTTGGATACACTGGTGCCAGAAGAAGTCTGTTGTTTCTTCTTCTTCCTCTTCTTCTTCCTCTTCTTCTTCCTCTTCTTCTTCCTCTTCTTCTTCCTCTTCTTCTTCCTCTTCTTCTTCTTCTTCTTCTTCTTCTTCTTCTTCTTCTTCTTCTTCTTCTTCTTCTTCTTCTTCTTCTTCTTCTTCTTCTTCTTCTTCTTCTTCTTCCTTCTCCTCCTCCTCCTCCTTCTCCTCCTCCTCCTTCTCCTCCTCCTCCTTCTCCTCCTCCTCTTTCTTCTTCTTCTCCTTCTTCTCCTTCTTTTCCTCCTCTTCCTCCTCCTCCTTCTTCATAACGTATGTTAAGTGTATTGGGGTAAGTGGGGGGGGATGGAGAGTCAGAGACAGTGACCTGCCTCCTCAGAGAACTGTCAGAGAAAGAGAAAGTTTATATTTTCATATGTTTCTTTCCTGCAAGTAAATAACAATGGCTATACCAAATAGAAAAGAAAACAAAAGAACAAGGAAAACAGCTTTAAAAAAAAAGAAAGAAAAAGAAAACAATAACAAGAACTTGGAAAAAATGAAGGACGTATGGAATCGTTTTTTTATTTTTAAATTCCAACATAAATACCTCTGGGATATAAGAAGGTAAAAGTCCTTAGAAACTGGTTCAGATAGGTTTGCATCATTTTTCAGGAAGCACCTTGCCAAGATCTATCAACAAAAAAGTCTGTCTTAGCCTTTTCTAGGAGAGTCCTGAGGAAATTAAATCAAAGCTTTATGTTCTCCTATAACTTTATTCTTGTGAAAAATTGGAACTACCAGAATAGTCTCTACATTGTGGCATGACCATCATGATGGGTTGAGTTTCAACTTTTTGAAAGGGTTTTTAGAGATAACTGTTTTATGTCTAATAAAAAAAAGTGTATAATTGGAGAAATAACCTGTGAGAATGAAAAAAAATTGCACAATAAGGGCAATATTGCTGTTGCTAATGTATAGTACAAACAGTATGGGGCCGGGCGTTGGTGGCGCACGCCTTTAATCCCAGCACTCGGGAGGCAGAGGCAGGCGGATCTCTGTGAGTTCGAGACCAGCCTGGTCTACAAAGTGAGTTCCAGGACAGCCTCCAAAGCTACAGAGAAACCCTGTCTCGAAAAACCAAAAAAAAAAACAAAAAAAAAAACAAAACAGTATGGCCTTCGGCTCCTGGATGAGGTGCATCTGCATCCTGCTACAACCATCAGGTCCTGGGTGAAATGCATCTGCACACTACTGCAGCCATCAGGTCCTGGGTGAAATGCATCTGCACACTGCTGCAGCCATCAGGTCCTGGGTGAAATGCATCTGCAAACTGCTGCAGCCATCAGGTCCTGGGTGAAATGCATCTGCACACTGCTGCAGCCATCAGGTCTTGGGTGAAATGCATCTGCACACTGCTGCAGCCATCAGGTCCTGGGTGAAATGCATCTGCACACTGCTGCAGCCATCAGGTCCTGGGTGAAATGCATCTGCACACTGCTGCAGCCATCAGGTCTTGGGTGAAATGCATCTGCACACTGCTGCAGCCATCAGGTCCTGGGTGAAATGCATCTGCACACTGCTGCAGCCATCAGGTCCTGGGTGAAATGCATCTGCACACTGCTGCAGCCATCAGGTCCTGGGTGAAATGCATCTGCACACTGCTGCAGCCATCAGGTCCTGGGTGAAATGCATCTGCACACTGCTGCAGCCATCAGGTCCTGGGTGAAATGCATCTGCACATAGAAAGCTGCAGCTAGCATTTGACACTATCGGTGTTTGGTTGCTTGTTTTTTATTTCTGCTGTTACAGGAGAGTTAGAGTGGTATCTGATAGTGGATTTAATCTGCATTTCTCTTATGATGATGATTCTCCTCTCTAATGAAGAAATGAAAACCTGTATTTGTTTCTCTGTAGATACTTAACAGCAATTTTGTTTGTCACCACCACCAAAACTGGAATCAACTCAGGTCAGTTGGGCAAAAACAGTTTCAAAAGCTCCAACTCATGCATGAAACTAACATGGGAGCTCTGTTTAAATCCAGGAAAATTTGTAAATATATAAAAAATTATCATATAAGAATTAAAAATTCATGTATTAGATTATATTGTGAAAAGATGCCTTAGAAATGTGGCCACAAGAAGATTAAAATGGTAATCTTAAGTGTTTCATCTTAGAGAAGTTGAAGTGAAGATGAGATCTTTGTGCTGTTGTTCTCTGATTCGTATGTTTTGTGGCTGAGGCTGGCTTGACTTGATCCTCCTGACTATCCCCAGAATGCTAGAACTACACGTGTGAGCTACTATGTCTAGTTTACAATGAAATCTTTTAAAGAAGCACCTAAATCAGAAAAAAGGGATCTCAGAAGTAATATAGCTACACCTTACCAGAATAACAAGTGAGGGCTGATGGAACTCAGAGAATGTTTGAGAAAAGGAGGCATTTTTAGTGACAATTTAGAAAACGGAAAATATGTACCACAGACAGCACAGTCAAAGAAAAAGGAGAAATAAGAACTCAATATCTTTTAAAAGCTAAAAAAAAAAGACAAGCTGACATGGTAGTGCAGACTTTTAACCCCAAAGCCTGGGAGGCAGAGGCAGGTGGATCTCTCTGTGAGTTCCAAATAAGTCAGGGACATATTCTTAAAAAAAAAAAAAAAAAAAAAAACAGAAAAAGAAAAGAAAAGACAGGAGAGGCAGCCAAATAAAGAGTTTCTCTCATGTAAACTGAAGTTCAATGGTGGTTGTATAACACTGTATACTTAATCCCAGTAGACTGAAACCTTAAAAGTGTCTTAAATGGTAAACTTTGTGCTCATTTTGTCATAATAAAACCTGTAAAGCAAAGCATTGAACTACAACTGTCAGAGCTACAGTTCCTGAACACTTAACACTAAAGAAGGATAAAGACTGTCTATGTTGAAAGGCACCCCAAGACCTGGAGCTCAGCCCAGAGCACTTAACACTGAGATGTAATCCTGTAAAAATGGTTGGATTTTAAAATCATGGGGGAAAAAAAACCCCAAGTGGTTTGGAAAAAAATAGCACATGGATTTGGTGCTTTGGGTAACTACATTCTAGATAATAAAGCAACAGTTTAAGAAAACTATTAAAGGGAATACAGTAATGCATATCACCAGACTACCTTTTAAGAACTTGAGGACATTTCTGGATATGGTGACATAACTATAATATTAGCAGCTTGAGGTAGAAGGATTGAAGTTCAAGGTCATCCTCTATTAAATACTAAGTTCCTGGCCAACGTGGTCTACCAAAAGGTTCAGTCACAAAACAGTTTAAGGATTATTGTTTCAATGCTTCCTGAAGGGATATACTAGAGAACAAATTTCAAGCAGTAAATGATTCGGGAAATGTTCAACATAAAATCAAGTTATAAGCATTAAATATATTGTGATGGCTCCACTATTAAAAAATGGGAATAATGGTTTTAGAGTTACGTGGTCTGACAATGTAGAAAAAACTATAACCCACTGTCAGGAAGTCCATTTTAGAGGAAATAAAGGTGCTGTGCCTGAGCTCAGTATGAGTAGCCATATCTTAGGAGCATGGCTTCAAGTTATTCTGATGGATATGTTCTTTTGTTGAAGAAGTTGCATGAGGTCACAGAAAGTCATCGATCAATTTAAATTGTTTTATTCTTTGT